TAAAAATAGATTTTTCTCATGTTCGCACCGACATGCCTACTGTATTTGTTTTTTTTTTTTTTATTTGGCATCCATTGCTTTGAAATCACACTTTCTCGTCTGCCTATGAATGGCATGCCCATATGAAGCTCTTCTGAATCAGCTTCCCCAGAGGTAGTATTGAAAAAAAAAAGACTGCCTGAAATCGTATAATAAGAAGCGCTACTAATTTTACATACTGGGTTGTCATGCATGCAATGTAATATATGCGCATAAATAAGTGCACTTGACCGTGTCCAATTTCAGTTTTCAAGGGGAAACAGTGAAAAAAGCAAAACAAATATCATGAAGCCAAAAAACACAATGGGGTAAAAACGCGAGTGCAAGAATGCAAATTAAAGTACAAAGCAATGTGAAATTCACTGGCACTTCGACAGCAGCACACCAGTGCAATCAGCAGTTGTGAGTCAATAGTATATAGTAGTTTTATGTGTGAATGCTTTGTGAGTGTATTTATTAATGCCCTCGACGCAGTCTCTTCTCTGCGCTACTTGTCTATGTATGTATGTATGTATGTGTGCAGGCAAGGAGCTGGCCGCCGAAAATTGCATTTATTATAATCAACGGCTTATGCAGGGGTATTTACCTAGCCTATGTATATACATACATACAGTGAGCTTCAAAAATAAGTATACCTTAACGGTTTGACGAGTTGATTTATTTATATTTTCCATACCAAATTTTTATAATTTTTTTTTTATAAAAGCATAGTTCATGCAACAGCAAAAACAACATTTTTATTTTTGTTGTTTAATTTCATACAAAACTCTGGAAAATGCAAGAAATTTTCATCGAAATTTTAAACTTTTCGGTTCGGTTTATTGGGAAAATGTTGAGCAACAAGCAGTTTAGTATAATAAAGTGCAACAGATTTTTTTTCGGAGGATGTTGCGCAGTTTCTCCCATGTAACGCATAAATACAATATTTTTTTAAATGAAAGAAGTTACGCAGCACTCTCAGCAAAAACAAAAAATCTCAAAAATCAATTGCGGTTGTTAGCGACTTTAAACTTGCGTTTTATTTTTATAAAATTTAATGTGCTACAAAATTGCATACTCAACTACTTACTAGTAGTGGCAGTTACTGTCGAAAATCTAACATTTTTCTAGTTTTTTATTTAAGTCTCTTGGAGAGGTACAACATTACTTACCGGAAAATCTCCTGCTTTGAACTAAAACGTGACAAGAATTGTTTATGTGTATCTTTGCAGGTCTTTGCAGTCTTTTGGCAGGCTTTGCAATTGACCAGATACATTCCAGTTTGTCGATAAATTTCGATAATTTGATACATACATATAATTGAATCAATTTCAAAATCAATAAAATCCGATTACTCAATGAGATCCGAAAACTCGACGAATTTCGATAATTTTCGATAAATATCGATAACTGTGCGTTTGGAATGATCGATAAATTTCGATAAATCCAAACTGTACCTATATTTCTAGCTATAAATCGAATACTCGATAAACTTTGGAAACCTCTATAAATTTCGATAGCTCGGCTAATATTTATAGCTCTATGTTTTTTGAAAGCTACCGATAAATTTTTATAACTCGTTACACTCTGGTAACATGATAAAATTCAATAAGCAGTGATAACTCGTTAAATTTACATATGTACGTAACCTTGAAATTTCGATAACTCGATATATTTTGAAAATTCCAAAAACTTCGTTTCGATAAATCTTCGAGTTTTAGTAAGTCAATGATTGTCGATAACTCGACTCAATGCATTGCGATAGCTCGATAAATTTCGTTAACTCTATAAATAAGGATAATTCAATAAAAATCTATAACTTCATAAATTTCATTAACTCGACAAATTTCGGCGAATAATTTTCTCTGTCTATAAATACCACTCAATAATTGATCGATTAGAATAATTCCAAACGTTGCGTTAAGCATGCATTATAATTTCGATAACTATAAACTTCGATGATTCGATAAATTTAGGTAACAGGATAACTTTCGATAACCAAATTTTTTATTACTGAATTTATTACGAATACTATCGAAAAATATCAATAATGTTTTCTACCCTTTCAGTTACCCTAATTCTTATCGATTTCTCATTGTTTTCGTTTTCGTATTTATCTTCAATTTAGCCGTCACTTTTTGTCTAAATCGTTATCATATATTTCTTCATCATCACATTTACCTTTATTACGAATGTAAAAAAGTAAAAAAAAACTCCGAAAACAACAACTATGCACTGACTTTTTACCAAATTTTAAACCATAAATCTCTCATCGTCCACAGTAAAATACTTTTCCAAGTGGTTTTCAAATAGGTTCGGTACAATCGCCAAACGAAAGTGGACAAAATTATATATAATATAATATATAATTGTAATTATTATTGATACTCACTGTATATGCAAACGTATTCAAAATACTTGTCACCATGAGCATTAGCTATTCTAGTAAATATTAAATTGCGCTAAAATTGTAAAATGCCCAATTGTCTTGGCAAATAATTAATAATATAACATCCGTATGCGCATACAAATTTTGAGTATGTATTCAGTTATGCTGTATTGAAATATTATGTATATGTATGTACATATATATTGTGAGTCCACGCATTTATTAAGTGAATTTATAATTTTCGCATTGAAAAAAAAACAAAAAGAATGGTAAGTAACTTCCATAGCCATAAAGCATTCTTGCCTTACTTTGAAAGAAAAAAATGTCGATGTTTAATTTTTGAGGAAATAGCCCGATTGGTTGGTCAAAAGCGTCGTTTAACATGTCAAAACTCGGAAGTCTAACTGCCACTATTTCCGACTAAAGTCGCCAATACACATTGTTCCGTTAAGGCGTTTTCATTTCACAGCTCATAAAATCGACCACGTGTACATACATGTGTGTGTAGGTAGGCAAATGACCAATGGCAGCGTAGTGAGCACTTATTTAGTTGCCGAACAAGATTCAAGTCACAGATAGCGCACGGTATGCAAAGTGGGCGCGTACTATTATACATATTCACATATTCACATGAATTGCCAACGGCAAAGTTGTAAAGTAAAATGCGCTTCTAAAAGTCACGCATACGCCATGTAGTACCGTAGTAAAAAGTCAGAGGAAAATATGTATGTATGATTGCTAAAAGGAACCGCTCAGTGGGCCAATTAAGTGCAGGCAACAAAGTTACCAAACATTATAATTACAGTTTTAATAACAATAATGGAATTCGTGCAGATGTGAAGAAATATATTTACATACATACATTAAATAATACATTTGTGTTTAAGTGGGATATATATACATAGCTATGCTGCTTTGGCTGAGTGATTAGAAGTGCATACTACCTACCACTCCGTAGGACCTGGCTTCGATATCGGCTCCGAGTAACGTCTAAATTAGAAAAGGCTTTTTCTAACCGTGATCGCCCCTCGGCAAGCAATCGCCAAACCTTCGAGTGTACATATTTAGTGTAAATACTTCTGCCATAAAAAGCTTCTCATAAATTCCATGGAGGCGGCGTAGTAAAACTTTAGGTCCCCCCATTTGTATGGTAGTATTTTTGTTGCTTTTTTATTTACTTCAAAAAACCGGAAATTTGAAATGCGGGCGACGATGGTCAGTAATGCAAGAGGTCTAGATACGAAAACTTGGCACTATGAATTTTTATTAGTCGGTTCCGCCTTTTGAATCGCATTGAGCTTCTGGATCGCCCCTGATTCATACTGGCAGAAGCAGTTAAGTTAAAAGATTAAAAACCGTTTTCCCCTTTAGGTTTTTAAAATTTATCTGCGGGTATTAACACAAACTTAGTTCTGAAAAAATCAGTTGAAAGAACAGACAAATTTTATGTAAAGCCAACATGGGAAAAGAGTAAAAAACTTTATGTCTGTTTTATTGTTATTTATTTACTGTCAAATAACCCCATTGCTCTACGATCATGCTCATTAACCGGGAAACGGGTTTTGTAAATTTTCCTCAGTCTTTACTTGCCCTAGATACTTCTGAGCTAAGCCTAAAGTCCTCTCAGCAACGTCACTGAACACAGAAAATGCAGTAAAAATTTCATTGCCTGTAACAAAACTTTTACATGACGTCGAATCATTTGAATCAAATTGTAGGAAATCATAAATAAGACCGTACGTCTAGAAAAAAAGTTAAAACGCAATTAATTGCTTTTGTAAATAATATGGGCTGTGGCGTAGCGGTTTTAAGCTAAGTTACACGGCAATTTTGTTTTTTGCAATAAGTATTCTAAAAATTTAATTCAATAAAAAATATATATTATTTTTTGTTTTTAAACAAAAAAACACAGGGACCGCAAATAACGATTATCCTTTGAAATTTCAACTCAAAAAATCACGCGAAAAGAGAAATGCTACGAACATAAGGAGTAAACCAATAAATTTCTTATTACTCGGAGTACCTTCAGCGGCACTGATTTTTATTTTTTAATTTTTACTTATAAAAATCAAGTTTAATCATTATATTTTGAGTTTTACTTTTTACTCAGAAAATAATCGTTATATTTTGAGTTTTATTTTTTGCTCGGAAAATAATCGTTACGTTTTAAGTTTTATTTTTTGCTCGGAAAATAATGGTTACGTTTTAAGCTTTACTTTTTGCTCGGAAAATAATCGTTACGTTTTAAGTTTTATTTTTTGCTCGGAAAATAATGATTACGTTTTAAGTTTTATTTTTTGCTCGGAAAAGATAAATAAAAATTTCTTTAAATATTAAATGTAATTAGAGATATATATTTATTCTTCTAAAACGATAAAATTTCAAAATTAAATTAGACACAAAACTATTAAAAAAGAGAAGAAAATAGAACTTAAAAATTTTATGTATACAAGTAGCATGTAGGACATTAACGGTTTAAACGATTATAAACCATGTTTTTCAATTGCTAAACTCTTAATTTTTTTTTATATTTTCAAAGAGAATATATTTATAGTTTTAATAGATAAGATTGATTTTTTTTTTTTTAACTCACCAAAATTCGTCCTGTTGTTGTTTGTCCCGATATAAGCTCGCCAGCCCAGTCTTTGGCTTCTGTCATAAAGGTACCCTCGAACTCTTGTT